AGGGACCCTAAAGATCATCCAGTTCCAACCTCCCTGCCATGAGCAGGGACACCTTCCACTAGACCAGGTTACCCAAAGCCTCATCCAACCTGGCCTTAAACACTTCCAGGGAGGGGGCATCCACAGCTTCTCTGGGCAACTTGTTCCAGTGTTGCACCAAGATCCTAATCAGGAGTGGCAATTAGATTTATTCTGACCTCCCATCATCAGTTTATGCAATCACAGCTGAAACAAATGACCATCAAAAACTTCTTCAACCTGCTCTTACCCTTTGGGACAGGCATACTAACCCCTGCCTGGTGTGGTTAGGGTTCCTGTTTCATATCTCCTTGCCTGGTTAACCAGATTGACAGGTTTTGCCAATCTCAATCTCTGTTCCAGAGAACAAGGACTCAGAAAATTAGTGGGTTTGATTTTTTTTCTGTAGCTTTTTTTATGGGCTGTGGATGACTTCACTGTTGAAATGTCCCAACACGTTGTGGCTCTGTCCTCTTGCACTATGGGTAAAGGGAGGTAAGGGAGGTACTTTTGCTTCATTATTTCCATAGAAGTTCTGCCTGGTTTTTTTGGGACACTATTAGACTTTTTCTCTCTTACTGATGGTGGTAGAGCTGTTGGGGGTGTACAGGGTCCTGCAGCTACAGGCAACCCCATGTTAGAGTAGCCCAAATGTTAGCCTAACCAGGCTTAAGAGTCAGTACTGTCCTCTAACAGAAGAAGAAAAAGAGGCACATTGTGGTTAAAATGGCTGTGATGGCTCCCCCAGCTTGGTTATGGAACTGTGTCTGGGTACTGTGAGGAGAGTGGGTGATAGTACCGCTGTGGCTACCACCAGCCTGGGTGACCCTCTGAACTCAGATGAGCATCCAGGTCATGCAAGGACCCTGTGCACAGGGCTTCAACCTGACATGGTGACATGCATCTGACTATATCATCAATGACCTGGAGCATGCACATTCTTCCTCAGATCTTTGCTTTAATTTGAGCCTCACTTGGTGTCCCTCTCTTCTTTAGTCACCCCAATTTCATAGAGGTGCTGCTGCAGTTGGTGGGTGGCTGAGTCTTACCCCAGAGATGCTACTCCCTGGAGCTGGCTGCAGGATGCAGTATTTATGTTCTGCTGGAGGTAGGAACCTGGAATAAAAACCCCAACAAACCGAGCCCCGAGAAAGAGAAATAACACGGCAAACGTGTGATACTCCTGTCTCCGTAGTAATCTGACAGCCTCAGCTGCTTCTGTGTTGGGGCTTGCTGATGTGGTTTCACAGTTAGTGATCCCCATGAATCTCAAATAAATATGGCCAGTTCCTCAAAGAGTGTCTGCTGACCAGGATATCTGCAAATGAGGTATTTAATTGGATTTAGATTGCCAATGTGAGCTGTGTCTCCAAGCTAAGTAGTTGCTTTGCAAAGGCCTCTGTCTGGGTTCCTCTTTTTGTCTGCCATTGCAGAAAGTGATTTACTGGATTCCCAGCTGCTGCGAGGAGAGCTTCATCACGGTGCTGCCATCCCTCGGAGCCATAGTAACTGTGAGAGATGAGAGCTGGCAGTTGGAGGGCACTTGTCCAGTCCCAGGCTTGTGTTGGCTTTGCCCTCAACCCAGGTACATGCTGTTCTTCTGGCTCGTTCTCAAGTGTTTCATCACAGGACAGGGTGCTCATCCCAGCCCCAGCTGATCTCACCATTGGAGGGTTTATTTTTAGCTCTGATCTTACTTCTTCTTTCTTAAAGCCATCATTGTCATTCTCCCTTGAGTATCTCCTTCCATTTCAGCCCCAGTTAGGTCTGTCTAAGGTTTTCCCCAGCACCTCCTACACAAGCTGTGCACCCCTTGCCCTTTCTATATTTTCCTTTGTAACACCTTTGCCACTTTTCTTATTTTTTCCAGAGCTTTATGACCTCAGTTCTTCATCTGTGATGTACATCTGATTCATTAGCTTCACTCTTTTATGACATAGCTCGATGTTTGGGCTCTTAGGATGTGAGGAAGGTGCACCAGAGGACATTTAGATTAGATAGCAGGAAATTTCTTCACCGAAAGCATTTTCAAGCATTGGAACAGACTGTCCAGGGAAGTGGTTGAGTGAGCATCCCTGGAGGTATTTAAAAGACACGTAGATGTGGTGCTCGGGAACAAGATTTAGTGGTGGACTTGGCAGTGCTGGGTTAATGGTTGGACTCGATGATCTGAAGGGTCTTTTCCAACCAAAATGATTCTATGAAACCCACTGGCATTTTCTGCCACAAACCCGCATGGCAAATTCACAGATGATTTTTGTTCGTGCTCTAGCCTGGACAGGTGTCTTTCTTTTGCTGAAGATCTTTCTCTTGAACATACCCCCTTCTTACCACCTTCCCGCCAATGCTATTTTCAGGTTTGGATTTCTAACTTTTTTTGTCTCACAAATTTATCTGACCTCCCCAGCCTCTGCTTCACCTCCCTGTAGAGTGTGACTATCATATTATCACCCTCCTCTGCTTCTAGAAACATAGACATGCTGCAGAAGACAGGTGCTTTATGCACACCATGAAATTAAAGTATAGGAACCAATTTAGAAAGGAACTTGAGAGAGAGCATCTAATTCATTTCTCAGCTCTGGAGCAGGATCCTATCAACTTAAACGATTCCCTAATAAGTATTTGTCTAGACTGTTTTGCCAAGCCATCAGGATGGAGGAACCACACCTTCCTAGGCAATCAGCTTCACTACTGTCACTGTTAGAAAATTCCCCCAGTGCCTAATGTAAGCCTCCTGTGATTGTTTTTCCTATCCAGCCCTTGTTGTTGCAGGAATATATGATATGAGTGAGTGTCCCCTGAGCACCTTTATTGTTTCCATCTTCTCCCATGAGTCTTATTTTTGAGTTCTCTTATTGCTGCAGATTGTGGTTCCTCCTTGCTATGCTTGGTTTCACCTCTAAAAATGCACATGAAAAGGTTGCAGCTTCACATCCTCCCTCCCTGAGAGGTGGGAAACAGGTGAATTCAATACAGTTCAGTGGGACTAGTGCAGTCATGTCATCCAGTGAAAAACCCTCAGGCACTTCAATGATCATCTTAAATGAAAGGGCATGAAATTAAAATCACCAGAGAGAGCCACATCCACCCATCTCCCGATCTGTACCTGCAGAGCCACATGCAGTTATATGCCAGAATAACCCTGATCCCAAGTCTGCCTGGGGATATAGATTTTTTCAGTCTGGGGTGTAAGACCAATGAAGAATTAATTTTAATTCTGGACCAGCAGCAAACAGAAGTTTGACTTCATTATAAAGCATCTACTGTGGCATGATACCATTTCTGAGCTTAAAAAGAAATTCAGGATGATGATACGATTCTCCCTTTATCTTCTTGTGATACCAACTTTATGGGGGGTGTGTGTGTGGGGGGAATCTAGGGTTTTATCCAGTGAGATTGCACTGATTTCCATTCTCATAGCGCTGTGGGCTTAGCTAAGAAGAAGTCCCATTGGACTACTCAATGTACTTGGAAATGTCACAAGACCATTTTTCCTCTGAAAAGGTTAGTCCCAAATGGGAACAGCAGATAGTAAGGTGGGAGAGAAAAACAAAAAATCAAAGCAGAAGAGTGAGTGGAAACATCAGCAAGATTTGCCATTTTTCTCTATGGACTTGCAGGAAGTCTTTGTTGGATCCAGGAAACCTCAGCACACCTAGCTCTGCCAGGTTCAAGGTGAGACTCCCTCCCCAGCAGACCAGATTTCCCTGTGACATAATACATCGCCCAGGCAGACCTTGTCCTGGACTAGAGCTGTCCTGGGCAGTGGGAAGGACTGGGTGAGCCTTGGAAGGTCCTTGCACCTTGTATTTGTGATTCATTACCCATCTATATTTGTGGTCTGCATGCCCCTGCTGTGGAGGACTTGTTTGGCTTGCCCTTATGTCTGAAGGACAGATGAGCCCAGCACCCCTGCTATGCTACACAACAAAAAGTCTGCCTGGAGACATATCTTGTCCAAGGAACTGACTCTGCAGTTGAGAGGGGACATAAGGGAATTTCAGTTCTTCAGTGATGACAATGCAAAGAATCCCAGAGGACAATAAACTAACTGGTTGCAGGACAGGAGTACAGAGGATATGTTCAAGGAAGGGTTTCAGTGAGGCAGCATGTCCTGTCAAAACCTACACACGGGGCAGGGAACCTCTGGGCTGATGGTAAGTTGGTCACTGCTGCTTGGCATTAGCTCATCATGAGACCTCAGGGCATTAAAAACATGCTCTAACCTTACCTAAGCTGTGACCAGCCTGTCTCATAATCACATCGATGATTTCTCCCCACTGTCTGGTTTGATTGAAATCCCAGAGGTACAATAGAAGACTTTCTTATCAACTTCCAAATGTTTTATATCAAAACCCACACAGGACCTGGAGGACCTGCTTTGCAGCTTTGACATACTCAACACCAGGAACCCTTGACTGAGGCTGCTCCAGGGTGTGCATTGGCAGTCAGTTTGCAAACAAAAGCTGCACTCCAGCTTGGAGAGGAAGCTCACTGCTTTGACACTGCCTGCTTTGCTGCTTTACTCGGGGCATGAGAGCTCCTGACTGTCTGATGAGAAGGGAGATGGGAAACTAGCCAGGAAAAACTCAGCCACGAGGATAATTCCCAGCTAGCCCTTGTTACGCTTTGCTTCTTTGGGTCTAACAGTGAGAGCAAAACAGGGATGTTAAAACAGTTTCTTCTCTGTCATTCATATGTATGGCAGAGGCTGCATGCTGTACAAAGTCTGCACCGGAGACATACCTGATAGACCCCAGGCAAGGCAGTCTTTCCCCACAAGTTGCCTACTCTAGAGTGGGGAAGCACAAACAGCATTTCTCATGCAGATGAAAAGACAGAACTTGTGCTTTTAATGAAAAAGCAAACACTGGTGCTAGTGCTCTGCAGTTTGTATTCTTCAGAGCACTTCTGCAACTGTCACTTCCTCAAAACACCCTATTTCCTTCCAGTTCATAAAATCCTCGTGGCACACAGTACTGTGTTCAACAGGACTTGGCAGCTCCCTGTGCTTACATTCCATCAGCATGCAAGTGTCCCTTGGCCTCAGCTTCTTCCTGGCTTTCCTGGACCCAGGTGAGTTTTCCACTGGGATGTGCAGGGCTGAGAGATGAGGAAGTGGTTTGGGAATGGGTGCGCTGTGTGTGGGGCCATTCCTACTTTCTGAGACATAGGAACCCCTCATCTGAGGAGGTTTGCACTGCAGAGGGGTGACCGGTCTCACTGGTGATCTAACTGGGACAGTTATGGGAGTGATTCAGGTGAATCTGAGACAGACCTTTGGTCAGGTGAATTGATCTCCAGACACCATTTATCTCAAAATTAGAGGGTCATTTATTTTATTCATGGACAGAATCAAGTGGCATTTTAGACATTATATATCATCTCAGCTGTCCTTCAGCTCTTCTCCAGAAGAGCACCAGTGTCTTGGAGGTTTTGTGTCATACGTGCCACCCCATGTAGAGGTCACAGCCACTGCAAGATGCCTTAGATGGCACCTGGGTTTAATGAACTGACACATGCCCTGGACCTCTTAATCTCCATGCTGGACCCTTGGGTCCTGATGAGCGTGTGCAGGAGAAGATACGCTATTTGTCTCCTGTTGATACAAGATTTATTCCTTTCTAAGTGTTTCCTGC